CAATTTGCAGTAGATGCAGTCTGCGGTGTTATAGATAAGCTTGCTGGCATGTCCACTATGTCGTCATCAACATTTACAACATTGGCTGTTTCAGCATGATCCGATAGTGGATCAAATCGATTTCTGGTTTCGGTTATAAGTGTAGTGACACTGGCTTGGTTTCCACATGGTTTGATTAAACCAACTGGTACAAAATGCGTATTTAGGTCCTCCTTAATACTGTTCAGTTGAGATTGGAGAATATCATTTCTAGCTAACATTTCTCGGTAGGATTGCGTTAATTGTGTGTAGTTTGCACGTATTTCACGGAGATCAGTCAACTGCGATCTCAAATCTTTGTTAGCATTTGAGAATCGCTTAATTTCTGCTTTGAGATTACTATCTGCATCACCATTTAGGTTGGTTTGTGTATGAACGGTTTTGTTAGATGAACAAGCTTGTAAAGCTATTGAATCAGTTTGGGATGACACATTTTGGACTGAAACATTTGAATCGGCCTGTACTACATCAGACAGTAGACTTACGTTGAAATTTAGATCCTGCAAGCACTTAGTTACATTGAATTCCTTTAAGATCCTATTGCACAGGGAGCTTTTTGGTGTAGATGTATGGAGCAAATCTTCATCAATAGATCCATAGAAAGAAACTGGAAGGCTAGTTTCGATCCATTGAGAGCCAATCTTACTCATGTTGATACACAGGGCGCTGGCTTGAAGCAAATAACAAAGGAGGCCTAGCTTGTCTAGCCTTGTCAATTCAATAGGTGAAACAGTGAATAAACAGCCTATGAGACAGTACATTAAAACCTTGTAAGTTCTTGTTGCAGGCCTATCTTTTCAGGCTAAAATGATATGCTTTCCAAAAAATGTAATTACAAATCCACTAGGTTGAAATGGTGCACTTGACTAAGGTAATATACATAATTGATCCTTACTTGTTAGACAGCTTATTTAACTCTTACAAACTCAATATTATAAGAGTAAATTCTAATTAGTGTTGCAAGCCTAGCGTCCTACGCATCCATCGATGCTGCTGCTGCTGCTGTTGTTGTTGTTGTTGTTGTTATTATTGTTATTGTTACTATTGTTATTGTTATTATTATTATAATTATTATTATTATTATTATTATTATTATTATTATTATTATTATTATTATTATTATTATTATTATTATTATTGTGTTGTGATGATGTTGTTTGTACTGTTCTTTCATTTTATTAAAGAGAGCCCCTGAATGTCAGTTAACCTACTGGGCTAAACTAGAAGGGTTGAAGATGGTTGAAATAAAAAATATAAAAAAAATATACCCACTCTGACTCAAGACCACTGTTACGCGCCTGGTGTTAGCGCCAACGTGTGCCCTTGTGCGGACAGGAGATGTGCCCCCCCCCC